TTTTAAAATAATAAATAAAAATGCTTATATAAAATTTAAAATCAATAAAAGAGAATACTAACTTTATATTGTTTAAATTTTTTATAAGAATATAAAGTATTATGATTTAAAAAAAATAAAATAAACTAATAATAATAAAAATTAAAGTATATAAATTATAGTTCATTTTTAGGTATAGGTCCCATAGCTTAATAACTAAGTTCCTATACTCTCATAGTCAAGATCAATGGTTCAAGTCTGGCTAGAAGCAAAATCGAAAGATTTTAGCTTCTGTAACTTATAAGGAGCCTGTATTTAAACACAAAGCTCTGTGATCAAGTTCAAGTACAGTATATGATAGAAAAAAAAATTACCAGAAGGAAATCAACTATGCAGAGTGTGGGTACTATGTATGACAGCAGTATTACAGAAGATTTTATTACACAAAGGTTTGCATATATAAGTTCTCTGAAGACAGAGCAGTACCAACATCTCTATATCCAACTTATAGAGTACTTGATTGAAAGGGTGATATCAAGATAATACAAACTGAAGTGGCAAGATAAGTGATGCATGCATAGAAGGTTTGTGATAAAGGATTAGTCTTATCAAGATTAAAAGCATATCTGACACTATGAAACATCTAAGAATAAAAAGTAACTATCTGTATAGAGAAGTTGTAGTCTGTCCTATATGTCTAAAGGTTTCAAATCAGAACTCTGATTATACCAATATGGAAACCTATGATAAAACAAGTGGAATATACCAATATAAATATCATACCAATCATGGTTGAGATACCTAAATTGAAAGTTGAAATCTTTAGAACTTTGTATTAGTAGTGAAAACACTAGTCTATAGTTGGAAAAGAATATGTATTCATTCCAAAATAGAGTTTCATTTATATTATAAAAAGAAGTATTTAAGGGGCAGGTTAGATGCATAATCTGTTGGACATGATGCTAAAATTAAAAAGGGTTGCAAATTAATAGTAATAGCAAGAACCTGGCTTAAGATATGTGTTACTAATACCTGAATTGGAAAATTAGTAGTGACAACAGAAATCTGACTTGAGATACATGTTAAAGAGACACTTTTTGAACAAATCAAAGATGATAATTCAAAAGGAGCAAATAACCTGATGGTCCAATTTGGAAATTGTTGAAATAGGTTGTGAGACATACAGAGAATATGCAGGTTATCTAATATAATTAGTAGTAAAACAAAAATCTAGGTTAGATGTAAGTGGAACACAATACAAAACTCTAGTAGGTTTAGATTGCAGATAAATATGTCTGAGTTCTATATCTAAATAAATATATAGTGATAGATAATGTATAAGTAGATTTGTGCTAGCTATAATGAATATATTAATAAAGACTAAAAGATATAACCTCACCTTAATATCAAAAAAAAAAAATAAAGTTCATTTTTATTATGCATATTAATTTAGCAATCTTGTATATAAATTTATAAGTAAATAAACCTTTCTAAATTAGTTTGATATGCTTATTATAATATTATAAATAAAAAATATATCCAGTGATAAAAAAGAATCAAATAGTTTAAATACATTCAGTTTGTCTTACCTAGTATTGTAAACTGATTATAACTAAATTGACTAATTTTTGTTTAGTTAATTTTTAATAAAAATCATTTTTATTTATATTTAACTTGAAGTTATAAATTCAAAACCTGAAGTTGAAAATGCTTAAAATTACTAACTAATACAGGCAAGAAAATTTTAATTTAAGAGATTAATTTTAGTTGGTGTGTCTAAATTGGTAACTTTAAACATAACATTTATCTAAATTAAAAATATATTCTACAACAGATTGGTTTCTAAATTTTATGAGCTCAGAATATAATTAAGTTGATTTTTTATAAATAGATTACTTGTATTTTAAAATCATAAATTTCTTTGATTGATTTGATTGGACCAAAATAACATTTGTAAATATTTTATTACTTAGTCAACTAAGCAGGTTATACCAATTAGTGTATGAAATCTAATCTTTTTATGTTCTCAAGAGAACATACTTTTGAATTTGAGAACATTTATTACTTTGAACATATTCTCTATAAAAATATTATTGAGAACATATTGCTTGATGAATATGTTCTCTATATAGTATAGTACGAATAAAGTCAACAATTAGAAAGTAAGTAAAGTCCGAAAATTTCCGGAAAGAAATGAACGAATATAAAAGATGAGCAAGTTTGGGACAAAATTTGAATAAATTACCGATATTATCTGAAAATTTTCAAAACATGCTAACAGAAATTTTTGTTATTGAGAACATAAAAATTAAATAAATTCAAACCAAATTTTCAACACTGGTACTGATGTTTTTATAACATCGCTTGGTCAAAAGTTTCGGCCTTGACTACTAACACTAACCTCACTTAGTGTTTCATGAATATCCATGGATTGATCTCACATGGGCTTGGCTTGAATTTTTGCATTGGTCCTGATTTCAAATTTTGGATATGTGAAATCAGATCGTGCTCAAAATATTCCGGTCTTGATTATGATTTGGGAATACAGGAATAATGTCATAGGTAGAAGTTTGTCAGATTGGCTAATAAATTCAATTTAAATATACATTATTTATACAGTTTTAGAAAACTAATCATAATGAATAAAAAAAACTGTATAGAAAGTTTCATTAGAGCTGTAGGACTCCATGACAAAAAATATGATAGTAATAACTTCTCGAAACGCGATGAAATCAATTTATTATTAAGCTAATTTTTTTAAACGACGATAATTAGAGTCCTACAGCTCTAATGAAACCTTCTATACAGCTTTTTTTATTCATTATGATTAGTTTTCTAAAACTGTATAAATAATATAAATTTAAATTGAATTTATTAGCCAATCTGACAAACTTTTGTCTATGAGGAATAATGTTGTTTCGAGGTGGTTAGAGTCGTGTTACGAAAATTACAAACTTGTAATTTTATGTACAGCAGAGACAGTTAATGTTACACATATTAAAACTAGTGAGGGATTATATCCATCACAATTGAATCCAACATAAATAATTTAATTTGTGATTGATTACAGGCGAGATGGATTCACTTTGGATCGGGCACTGTCTCTGCTGTAAATTTTATGTAAGTTTATGTAAATCAGATTTCAGGTAAATTTCATCATGTTGTATATTACAAAATTCGACGAGTATAATTCATCATTTGAATATGAGTGCGGCCAAATAAAGAGTACATTTCTAAATATAATTCTATATCTAGAAATGTACTTTTAATCGAAAATTTTGATCTCAAAGTGCATGTCATGTAAATTTCAAATTACATCAAACCAATTTACTAAAACTTATACAAGATTACATAAAGTTACGCAAAAGTGTTACAACCTTGAAAATCACAAGATTTCATTAGATTTGTGAGTGCTAAAATCTCGTGCACATGTTACTCGAATTACATGTATAATATAGATTTTAAAAATAGTCATAATAGATTAATTGTCTCGTTATATGTAAAAAAAACCCCCCCGCTTATGAACGCAAAAAGGAAAGTTAAACAAATTATCTAAAAAGACTCTTGCCGTATTTTGTAACAAATTCAGAGTCAACTTGAATATTAATCTAAATTTATTCTGAAAATTAACTTTGAAAATTGACTCCATAAGCCCCTATGTACGTACGTACATAACCCATGTGTACATGGGGATAATCATATTCATTTTGAATACACATTCGAAATATAAATGCCTCCTCATGTCTTACATGTAATATAATTTTCAAATGTTACGTCTTACAAGTGTTACTGGCTCAAAGGAGTGCATTTGTAATTACAAAATATAGGCCCAAATTAATATCAACATGCATAATGTACATTATTCATTCACAAATAATATAATGCTTATAGTTATTAAACAATGATGAAAAAAATTTGAAGCCAAAATTTGTGATACAGTGCAATAAAATTAACAATATTTTGCTATATAAAGTAAAATTGATTATCAAGAAAACATTAATTTTTTTTTACAATCGAAATTATAAACTCATTGCTTTCTTAAATAATTTTAAAGATATAAAATTAGTATTTTTAATAAAATTGGCTTATCATATCTATGACTATGTATTCATTGTCTCAAAAGATAACTAACTGATTGGTATATAGTTCTTCTAAAATCTAGATCACCGAAAAACTAGGGTTGTAATAGAACATTCCATTGACTCTATTTTAATAGTAGTATTACTATAGCATTAAAATGGATTCAACGTGAAAATCCTAGAACTTAACCTTAAAATCCTTTATACGTGAAAATATTCATTAAATGCTCTGAGATAACCATTGCAAATTTGCGTAACATTTACTATCAATTGCCCATCGTAAAAATACCTCGTTTAAGTTATATAAAGATAATAAAATATAATAAATAGGCTAAAGGCACCATAATTTCATGTTTTACAATTATTAAATGGAATTTCTTCTATAATCATGTATGTAACAAATCGTGTGAAAATAGTAGTCCGGAGTCTAATATTCATCTCCGAGAACACGCCATAACAGGTTATTTGCTCGTGTAACGTAATCTCTAAGGGCCCTTTCGTTCTTAATTAGCCAATTGAGACAGATTTGAATTCTTGTGATATGGTATTTTCTACTATGGAAAGCGATGAATATAAAATGGCAATGACTTTGCATTTTCTTACTTTTTCTGTAACCGCATTTAACGTTCAATGTGGTCAATTATTCTTCCTGCTGCTGCTAATTACTTTTGCCATCAGTAAACATTCATACAGGTAAAATAATAATGTCGAATTCACTCGTTTATTCTTTATACATATGTATAATTATTTCTTTATTGTTTTACATTCGAAACTTCACGTTTAAAATGTTATTATTATACTTATTTATTTTAGACTTTCCAAGTGCTCAACTATATGACTATATTTGCTCTTCGTATAATTACTCTTTAGTCATATTATATTGAATAATTGGTTTATTATCCTTTTCGCAAATAATAAATCAAATTTCGGAAGATACTCAATATGGTATTACAAGTTGACTTGGTTCTCAAAAGTCATTATATTGTTACTATTGTTCTTGCCTGCGTATGTACACCTATTTTTTTTTTCTTTCATTAGTTTTTGTATGTCTTGTCATAACTTCATCCTTGTAATTTTCAGATTAGTTGGATTATACTACTTGGTGGTACTAGTGCCATCACATCTTTATACAGTAATGGAGGCGGTCCTTTGGCTGCCCTTTGGTTCCACTTGATTTATGAATTGGGCGTCATACTTGGTCTCTTTACGGTTATTGCGGATAACTCTATGAAACACTACCGCTTTACTGTATCTTTAAATTGAAAAAAATATATTATATTTACATTCAAATGAATTTTCGAAATCATTAAGGCCTCTATCAATTGTGTAATATACTCATAATGGTAGACTTTGTATAATAATTTCGAATATACTAAATGATTGAACCTTAAAAATAATGTTATTCTTCCTTAACTGTTAACATTCGTTCTTTCGTTTCTCAAAATATAGCTTCTGTCGCTTATAATAATCAGTTTTATTTTCAATTGTTACTTTGCTTTTAGTTTTATCGATATTAATCTTTCTCAGTTTAAGGCTTTTGTGGCTGGTGCCATCCTTCTTGCTATGATCAATGTAACTCCCTTTTATTACTTTTGATGGTTCTATTTTTAAAAAATTCTAAAAAAAAATTCATTGAAACTTTTCTAGCTTTTTTGGTTACTTGTGGTTGGATCAGAGGAAGATTCTTATGCAGTAAAAATGGTTAATGATTCTTATAGCAATCTTAGCAATATAAATTTTGGTCCTATAAGTCAGAACATCATTCCTCAATTTGCCCCTAAAACAACATCAATGCATAATTCTGACGTTAGAAGTCAACAATTAAGTGAAGTGATGTCTCCTACCGAAACATCTTCACCTATACAATTTAATAAGACCATATACCTTGGACAACCTTCAATGCAAAATCATTATTCGAACGCTACATTACCTTCTACTTCTGCTCAAACTACTTACCTTGGACAACCTTCAATGCAAAACCATTATTCGAATGCTACATTACCTTCTACCTCTGCTCAAACTACTTACCTTGAAAAAACTCTTATACAAAATCAAACTCCTGTACAAAATCAAAATTCAAATACTATTCCGTCTTTGCATCAATCGACATATCATGAAAATGAAATACATTCTAATATTGTAGTAGATGAATATATCTTTAAAGCTAAAGCTTTGTATGATTGTACGCTATATTCATTGGTCTACATTATCAAAATTCCAAATTTGTTACGTATTATTACTTTTGTCAGATTTTAATAATTTTCAATTTAATAGATCATGGAAGTCCCGAAGATCGTACCGAACTCTCATTTGTTAAAGGCGATCACCTTGACATTGCTAGTAAAGAAGGTAAATGGTGGCATGCAAGAAAAGCCGATGGTACAACTGGTATTGCACCAAGTAATTATGTAAGTTCTCGTATTCTATTATTATTACTTTCTTATTTATTTTTATTATTTCTTTTTATTATTTTTTTTTATTAATCTTTTTTTACTTATTTTATTTCAAACAGTTGCAACTAGTATCTTAAAATGAAAATGAAAAACGAATTTACTGTATGAGAATAATTGTTTTTTTTTTGTTTTTTTATGAATTTCATGTGCTCATTTTTTCGTATATTGTATATCGCCATAATAATTTAAATCTAAATTTTCATATGATAAAAAAATACTTTTGTAAATAATCGTTTATATTAATATTATAGTTAATGGATCAAATAAATCTAGTAAAATAAACTATTTATAATTTCAATATATATATATATATATATTTCATGGGAAACAGCGAATAATATTTTTTTTAGACATTTAAATATTAAAAGAAATGCGATCAATAAAAAGAATGTTACTCTTATAAATTCAATAATATTAGTAGAATTCTAAATAATGTCAGTTCGAAAGTAATAATAAATTATTTGTTATATAATATTAGTTGAATTCTAAATAATGTGAGTTCGAAAGTATCAATATCTTAAAAATAATTTATTTGTTAAATAATATTAGCAAATTCCACAAATAATCATGATGCAATAATTAATGATAGTTTCAATGTAAGGTCTATAAAAATCAGATAATCAAAGAGCTATCTGAACATTCAGACGGTTTGCTCTTTTAATTAACATCCTAGTGCGGTGCAGAGATCTTGAATTGGTGAAACACGGTTTTTAAATGTTTTTGCGTTTACCTTTTTTTTTTTTTTTTTTAGCTAAAAATGGATAGTGTTAGACCCGGAACACGTGATCCACGGATGGCCGATTTCGTCATGGGATCTTCGCCGTACGACCTCAAGTCACGCC